CCTAATTCTTCAGATGATTGCCCTTTGGATATTTGTATATATTTGTGGGGTTGGATCCAACATGGGTTTCTTGGTGTTCGGCAAAGACATGTGGTGAAATCATGCAGAATCTTTACATCAATTCTTGGATAATTTTGGATCATCGTGGCTTCAAAGGTACCCTCTGGTAATTTAACAAAACTATTGAACATGGCCCATTTGTAGTTGATTTACCCATTAAACATTGCGATGTTCTATGGCAAACGGTTAGTTTACCAAAGGGTATTGCACACGGCCATCATGGCACCAGGGAGCAGGTTAAGAGCTACAGCTTTGACCTGGGCCTCCTACGTCAGTCACTGTGCTCAGATCACGTCCCCTGCACGATGATTTCCAAGCACTTGGCCCTTGCTCACCAGCTGTAACTTAGTCATGTTACATCATTTTATCACATTTGATCTGATCAAATTATCACATTTTATCACATTTTATCACATTTGATCACTATATTTCTCCAATTTACCCCCCTATCTTGTGCTCGGAGCAACCCTGTCCAAGGCAATCTTTGAGTTTTGATCAGACGACGCCATCGCAGCAGAGCTGGCGGGACTGGCTGCTCGACCTTCACATGCTTTTTGAGGGTCGGAATCGGACACACCTTGGGCATCAACATCAAAGATTTGTTTGATATATGATCATAGGATATCATAGGTAGTCTTTATTTAATTCTATAATATCTATCCCCCTTACCATTTCCACTACTAAAAGGGTGAACACGTGCTTGGTACCATCCTCTGATTCGTGGATAATTCAAGCAAAAAAAATGGACCCGTGCACCAGTTTTTGTAGTAAAAGGGTGTGCACTGTATCTTGTAGCGGCGTTCCATTTTACACTCATAAATCGGAAACGCATTTTGTAGTGATTTATTTTGGGATGCGTTGTGTCGTGCCGGAAACCCTATAGCCCTCTTTTACCAGTCATGCTCGGTCACATGAACATATAGCTTGGACCCTCAGACCATTTTTGGCTCTTGACTCACGATTATTTCGTGGTAAGATGAGCCCCCAAAAAATCGAAAAAAAACAAATAAGGTAGAGACTTTAAGACGGAAAAATGGGACAGACTTGGTTTCAAAACCCATCAATTGAATTTGAAGTTGTGCGCTCAGATCGTTTTTAGCTCTGACGATTGCAGTTCAAAACCTCTGCGCCGTGCTTTTGTCACACCTTTTTTGGCCATCACATGCGATTATTAATTAAAATCTAAATCTATCCCATTCTACTAGGTTCCTGCTCTTTTTGTCCAATAGTCAAGTTTCACCCCAGTTTAACGAATCCATGCTCAGAGCTCCTTTCACCCACAATGTCACAAAGCACAGATTCGATGCGTGATGTCCTAGTTTCTGGATGACTTGTGTCATGCACTGCATTTTGTAGTGACACACGCGTGCACAACCTTTTGTAGAACCTACTGCGCCCCCCTCCAGATAAGCCCCAAAAAGTTCGAAAAGCATGCTTTTTATGTAGAGACTTTAAGAAGGAAAAATGGGACAGATTTGGTTCAAAACCGATCAATTGAATTTGAAGTTGTGCGCTTAGATCGTTTTTGCTGCCCCATAGCTCTGACGATTGCAGTTCAAAACCTCTGCGCCGTGCTTTTGTCACACCTTTTTTGGCCATCACATGCGATTATTAATTATAAAATCTAAATCTATCCCATTCTACTAGGTTCCTGCTCTTTTTGTCCAATAGTCAAGTTTCACCCCAGTTCAACGAATCCATGCTCAGAGTTCCTTTCACCCACAATGTCACAAAGCACAGATTCGATGCGTGATGTCCTAGTTTCTGGATGACTTGTGTCATGCACTGCATTTTGTAGTGACACACGCGTGCACAACCTTTTGTAGAACCTACTGCGCCCCCCTCCAGATAAGCCCCAAAAAGTTCGAAAAGCATGCTTTTTATGTAGAGACTTTAAGAAGGAAAAATGGGACAGATTTGGTTTCAAAACCAATCAATTGAAACTGAAGTTGTGCGCTCAGATCGTTTTTGCTGCCCCATAGCATTTCCCCTAGTAAATGCTATGACCCATTTAGTAGCGAATCATTATTTTCATTGCAACCCGTTTTCACTACAAAATGGTTCCGTAAAGTCATTTTGTAGTGACCGACATTGGCTTTTGATCCATCATAAAAACACCCAAACCATTTTGTAGCAAGGGGGGTTGGTTCAGATTCAAGCTTCATTTTGTAGGATAAGGCTGTGTTTGTAAACGGTTTAGTGGGCACAACTTCTCTGCAGAATGCGCACAGGGATTAATATCTAACATCATCTAATATTTGAGGATTATTGAGGGCATGTTATGTGTAATTATACTGGCTTGAGTGTGATCCAATGGTCTTCACCGATGACTCTGTGCTGCATTCTCAATGGCCAAGTGAAAATACTAAGGCGTCGCTCGACCATAGGCCGTGGCTTCCAAATAGTGCTGGTGTTGGTGTCAGCCTCAGCGATCATCCCGGTAGCGGAAGATTCACAGAAGCAACACCCAAAGACATGCAGATGCCTGGTGTTGAATATAAACCAAGAGGTGCTTGTAGAATCCAACCCGGCAGAACCTCAAGCATGCAGTCCCAGAAAGTGTCTAGGGGTCTGTGGAAAAATATTGTAGATATACTGCCGGAGAATGCTCAAAAGATCCTGGGCACCTTGCATCAAACAGATTCCGAGGTGTATATTGCAGTCGAGACGCCTCCTCAGTTCCGGAGCTGTTGGACGAAGGATGAAGCACCCACCTGATGACTCCAAACATACCCCAATGTCCGAGAACCTTTGTTTGCCCATATGCTCGATGGTGTTGCAATACTTACCAACATTTACCCCAATAGTGCCCAAGTTTTGATAGGAAAGTGCAGTTCAACATAGTTCAATGGCAGTTCCAGTTATAAGTGGATCATGCATAACAATGGCTTAACTAGGGTTTATAACATTTTATAACCATAGTTATACCCATTTGGGACCTCAACTAACTGCGCCAAGTGCCCTGAATACAACTGGAATCTGCGAAGTCACCAGCTTCCAGGGCTGCCAAGAGCCTGCTGAGCGTCAGGGCGCTGAGGGGTGCTACAGCAACGGCCTGGAAGCCCTGGAGAAATCGCCTTGGAGATGGTTGGTGTGTATCGCCCCTATCGCCCCATTGACGAAATGATGGTTTTCCCATGGGTTTTCCCATGGTTTTCCCATGGTTTTCTTATGGTTTTCTTATGGTTGTTTTATGGCGTTCTGCCACGTTTTGCCCATGTTTTCCTATGAAAACCGGAGGGTTTTCGATTCGCAGGTTGGAAATGATGGCTTCTGGTTCAAAATAACATGTACAGCACCATACAGCACCCCAAGATAGGTTGGACACCTGGAAACTATGGGGAAACAGCCCGGAAACAGCCCGTTGGGAATCTTTTTGGTGGGTATCTATGATTAGTATCAGATTCATGATGCAACAGAGTTTCCAGGCTGGTATGCAATGAAACATTTCTCTACAATTCTATGAATCAACATTTGTTGTATTTTTCTGCTTCCATTTTCAACTGTTCAACCTCATTTGGGATCATGATCCCATTGACTGGCATGTTTTCAGGGGAAGATCCCCAGCCTTCTGGTTACTGGTTCTTTTGTGTCAGCGTGGGGGTGGTACCCACCGACAAATCGATTTAAGACTATTTAAGCTGTTAATCATGTTATAGGCTCTGGTCATCAAAGGTAGGGGAATTTACGTACTTCACAAATGGAATCGCATTAATAGTATAGATTATGTTAGATTATGTTAGATTATGTTAGATTTAGATATCCACTGGGAAAAAGCAAATCCATACCCAGGACCCATTCAAGTGAGAGTTCCAAGCGAGAAAAGTGTGGGCATTTTCTGGTCTCCCCTAGGACGGCCAAATCTTGGTTTTCCTCCAGGGATTGGCCGGGAATCTTAGGTGGACAGGTCAGGGATCCAATATGCTGCAATAGAATATGGGTATGGATCAATACCTATAGATACCATTTTTAGTGGGATGAACATCCATTTACCAGCTATTTTGGGGTTCACTAGGTACCAGGGTTTTGACCAATAGCCATATGATGAATATGCACATGTTGTCGTAATAATTACACATAATTCTGGAGCATGTTTGAACTCAGTAACATCATGTAAGATCCAGGCATACAAATGTATATAAATACTGTAAGTATCATCTTAAGAAAAGCAACTCCAGGCCCCAAGCCAGCCATAACTCCTGGCTGAGATCCTTCTGCTTCTCGACAGGTGTCGCTGGTGAGCGGCTTGGTGCTCACCGCCTGCTGCGAGGTGCGGCTTCTCTAAGGCGGAAACGTTAATGAAAGCCTAAGCAAAGTTATCGTTTTATGCATGTCTTGTGTGGATGATCCCAGCCTTTAAAGTTAACATCTTACTGATGTATATGATATACAGATGGATGAATTTGCAGATGATCAGGCATCCTCACTGCCATCAGATACCATGTTGAGCTATCACATTGTCGTGGCATGGCCAAGCCCCACTTTTGCAGCCCATTTGCTCGCTGAAAACCAGCGAGTTGGCCAACTGCGGGATGGTACATGTCGAACATGTCGAAGTGACAACATGAGGTGATCAGGTGATCAATCCCAACTGCTACATCCATTGGTTCTCATGGGTTCTCATGGATGGTAGTGGCCCTTGCAGGAAATCCTGATGGGATAGTGAAGTATAGTGTTCCATCCCTTCCCGGCGACAGATGAGGAGCTAGCAGCTATGCAACCAACCCCTGGAACGTTTGAACATGTTTGAAATTCGAAATCCCAATGCTCGGAAGAAGTCATTGGCCCAGACACCTCAGCATCACCTTACTCTTGCTTGGGCTACACAAGTGTTAATAATGCCAGCCTAGTTCAGGTTCTGACCCCTTGGGGTATTTGCAACTGGCTCCCAGAAACATGGAGCTTCCATCGCCATGGCCAGATGAAGGCAGCCACCTTTGATGGCTGAGCTGGGCGGGGCCAACCGAGATGTTTTGAAGCGGCAGCTGCAAATCCTGCGGAAATCTCCAGAGCAACGAAGCCCTGAAGATGTGAGAGCCTTCGCTGCCAGTCTCAGCAAAACCAAATTCTTTCAGGATTTGGGGGAGCACGAGAAGATTCAGGTCTGTCGATATTTGAAGTTGGAGGGAGCTCCTGGCGACACCACACTCTTCAAGCAAGGTGACCGCGGTGACAAGTTCTACCTCATTTTATGTGGCTCAGTAGGCAGGGCACAGGATGGCAACTAACTAACTAAAAATTGCAACATTTGGCGTTTTCATAGAAACAACAAAACAAATCACATGGCACATGGTTGGTGATTTGCAGAGATTGGATCAGATTTGTGCAAGTTTGCATGCAGGAGGTACGCATGCATCCACAACCTGCATCAACCTGCTAAATGATTTGAATGGTCCAGATCATCAGCTCTCCTCCAATTAGCATAACAAGAAGAGACCAAAGCATCCATATGTATCCATATGTATCCATATGTTTCCATATGTATCCATATGTTGTCTTTCCGTGTTTTTCCCTCCAATCCAGGTGTTTTCATCAAAGACGTGGAGGCGAAAGACGTCGAAGCCTCCAAAACGGAGCCCAGCGCTGAGGGCGCCAACGGTGCAGCTGGTGCGCAGCCACCATCGCCAGGGGCGGCGTCCTCGCCCAGCCCTGTGCCACAAGGGGAACCAGAGGCTCCACGGAAGGAGCAGAGCGTTGGATGGGTGAAACTGGCCAAGTTGGTGCATGGCGCAGTGCCTCCAACAGTGGCTGAACTCCAATTGGAAGGACAAGCATGGGGTAAGGAAAGCGAAGGGCTTGGGTGCAAGTTCAGCTGTGAGAACAGCGACATGTCGTGTTTTTGAGAACTCACCAGAGTGACAAGCAAGTAGTAGCGGATTGCACATGAACCGTTGGCCATTTTGGCTACAAAGGAACCCTGAAAGGGTTATGTGCCTCCAACCCTTCACCTCCTTTTAAATGGTGTAGGGTGGAGGCGCGATGAGCCTGTTTGGAAGTTGGGCTGATGCCCTTACGTTCATGGATCTCCAAGAGATAAAGGACACCATGGGCGTGGGCAGACAAGTGTGGCAGGCGTTCACCGATCAGGTGGGGGACCCTGCCAACGACATCCGTCTTCTCAGTGCACTGCCAAGAGTGGCAGTAGTGACCGCCTGTGGGCAGGCGCAATTCCCTGATGGATCCCCTCTACTTCCTCTCCAGGCTACACAGGTGGGATTGGTTTGGCACCTCAGTAGACGAGTGGTAGCAGCAAAATCAGGACTACGCGAGGACCAATTTGTAGACATAGATCCATGGGGTGAACAAACAGAGGCTAGGTCGGAGCATGGAGGCAACAGTCGACATGGGCAAGGAGGTCAGTCGTCAGTAGTAACCACTACGGCATCAATCAAAGAGAGAGGTTTGAAAATGTCAGCACTGCTGGATGCTCAGGACGAATCAGAGCTATTGCCACCGTCGAATGAAGAGGTGAACAACTGGACGCAGGCCTACGTCACGATCATGGGAGCCTTGCCTGATCCTGCGGAGGAGCCCACGGCTTCACAACTGGCAGCGCTGGCAAAGAGGACCCTGGTTCACGACTGTGCGCCCTATACGGATTTCAGTGTCTGGACCCCCTTTGCAAGACGCACGATAAAGAACCAGAAGTACAGGACAGTTTTTCCACTGGGGGACGGGTCATTCCTCACCAAGGAGTTGCCTGGCCCTGTCAATTTTCAGATGTGGCTTGGATGCTGGCGGGTGTTCAAGTCGGCGGCATTGATGCTCAACATCTCGACGCTGGCGGCCCTGACGAGCTACGAGAGGTTCGTTGAGAGGCTAGTCACCCAGTGGCCTCTTTGCTGGGGCCTCATTGCTCAGGCTGAAGATAAGATGAGGGCAGAAGGGCTGGAGAGATGGAGAAGGAGAATCATAACTGCCGCGGCTTTGGGGAGGCAGACACCGATCAACTGGGACCCTGCAAAACCTTGGACGGCAGTGTTCGAGATGGCAATCCAGGACACAGAGTACTGGGCAGAAAACGTTCATCACCCAGCGGCGGCGTGGCTAGCAGCTGGAAGCCGAGGCAAACCGGTGGTGGCGTCAGAAGCAGCCCTGCAGGCACACATGGCTGGCAACCACGAGGGCGCAACGGAGGCAACGGGTGACGAGGGCAAGAGAAGAGCTCAAGTCAACCGAGGAAAGAGGCAGGCGAAGAAACGCCGCATGTTTGAAGACAGAGAAGAACTCAAGCGCTGGAGAAGCAGTCAGAGCAGCCAAGGAACTTCGGAGGTAAAGTCTTCCCAGGGCAAAGGCCAATCCAAGGGGAAGACCAAGGATCAGAGTGGGAAGCCTTTGTGCTTCTCGTGGAGCGCGGGCAACAGTCCGTGCGGCCACTTAGGACCTGGGTCGGAGTGCCTTGGCGCGGTGAAGCGAGTCCACAAATGTAGGATTTGCTTGTCGCCAAGCCATCAAGAGGCGAAGTGCACTTCGAAGTGAGCGCATGAGAAACAGTGCTGTTCGAAACCCAGGTTGGCCGTTGCTTGAATTTTGTGAATCAGAGTTTGTTTGTTTATTTATTTTAAGTGATTTGAGAGTTGATTTACTTGTAAATTTGTCTGATTTGTGATAGGACGACTTGGTTGTGAATTGAACGTTTGCACAGGTAGGTTCAAGGTTCACGCATGTTGTCTTTCACATTTGCAGTGCATTGGATCGAACATGTCAGTGCTGTCGGAGTCATCTGATAGCTCGTCTGACCCGGCCGCGGAAGAGACAAAGCCCGCCGGGACGGATGAGTCGACAGAGGCAAAGGAGCAAGTGACGTCCGCGGCAGAGCAGTTGCTGGAGACGGCCAAGACTGCGACCATTCCAGATAGAGTCAAAGTTGCCCTTGGTGATGCAAGCGACTTTGGAAGATTCAGGGAAGGCAGGGTGTTCACATTCCTGCACCTGTTCAGTGGCCCCAATGACAGGCTAGCAGCCGCCCTGAAAGAGGAGGGGGCAAAAGCAGGCCTGAAGGTCAGCGTGGACAGCGTCGACATAAAGATGGACAAATCCATGGATCTGAGAAAGGGCCCGGCGGTTGAAGAGATCGAGAAAAGGATCACCCAGGGCAACTATGACGGATTTCATGCAGGGTTTCCATGCGGAAGCTTCAGCAGGGTGCGTTGGGTGGAGTCAGCTGGCATGCCAGGACCAGTGCGGTCAAGGCAGTTTCCATATGGGCTGCCGTCCAACAGCCCGAAACAGCAAGAAGAAGCCGATGATGGAACACTGATGGCAACGAGATCTCTGGGGCTCATGCAAAAGCAGATATGGTCGCAAAGGAGCAGGAGAGTACCACAGGCTGCAACGGTGGAGAACCCCCCTGGAGATGAAACCGGGCCCGCAGGTAGCGCCTGGATGCTTCAGGAAGTTGAAGAAGCACTGGAATCTACGGGCGCGGGCATGGCAGACTTCAACACCTGCACATATATGGATGGGAAGGAAAGGTTCTTCAAACCAGGCAGGTGGGCTGGGCGCTTGGAGAACTTGGAGTCCCTGGCAAAGGTGTGCAGGTGCCCCCCATGGGTGAAACATGTGCCGGTTAAAGGAAAAGGCACAACGGTCAGAGCGGGAGTTTACCCAGACAAGCTCTGCTCGGAGGTGGCCAAACTATATGTGGCTTCATGGAAGAGGACACTGGACTTGGAGTTCTGGCGTTGGAAGCTGGTGCAGAAATCCGAGGAGGTGTCCGCGCTGAAGACGGGGTGGCTCAAGAACGAAGAGAGGCGCATCTCCGAGAGGCAAAGAACCACGGGCACGAGAAGAGTGGGCCATGTGGGAGAAGTCTTCTTGGAGCCTCGAAAGCCGACAGCCACCGTGACCATGGACCCGGAGAAGGAGTCCGGCCCTAAGTCATCAACTCAAATGCCAAAGCGACAGAAGAGGGAAGCGGAGAATGAGTTCTGCGTGGGAGGTATGAGAAACCCCTTGGGGGCCGTCAAGCGGCTGTGGAAGGTAAAGAACGTGGGCAAGCAGATCAGGCTGGCTTGGGAACAGTTCGCAAAAGAGAAACCAACATCTCTTCGACTGGGAGAGGCCTACGGATCTGCGGAGGCACAGTACGACGAGACCCTGGCCATGGAGTGGCAGATCAAGCTTGCCTCGATCTTGGAGGTCACCCCAAGGGATGGCTTGACGTTGACAGACAAGTTGATGTTCAAAAGCCACCTGAACATCGACTTGTGGAGAGGATGGTTCAAAGCCACAGGTGACCCGGACTATCACGTCGCTGAATGGGCAGAGAGCGGAGTCCCCTTGGGCATGAACGTGCCGATACCGCTGTCCAATGGAGTCTTCCCAGCGTCGGGCGAAACGTCCCCAGAGATGACAGAAGAAGCGCCGGAGATCGAGATGCAGTCCCACGTGACGAACTACAAAAGCTTCATAGATGCACCTGAGGACGCAGAGATCGAGGTGCAGAGGTACGTGGAGAAGGGCTTTGCCATCTTGATGGACTGGGACGAGGTGCAGTCCCATTTCGACAGAGGCACAGTTAGCCGACTAGCGCTGATCCTGAAGACAAAGGCCGACGGGAGCATCAAGCGCCGGGTGGTGGTGGACCTGCTCCGGTCTGGAGGCAATGGGCGCACGGTGACACCCGAGAGGATAGTCCTCCCGAGGGTGGTGGATGTCACCAAGATGGCGCGAGACATGGCGGCAAAGAATGAGGGGGACAACCATGGCAGGACGGCGGAGTTTGTGATGTACGACCTGCAAGACGCCTTCTGCCATTTCCCGGTCTGCCGTGACGAGCTGCCCAATTGTCTGGCACCGGGCAACAGGAGCGACCAGGCCATCCTTTTCCGGGCACTCTTGTTCGGATTCAAGTCAGCCCCACTGCTGATGGGAAGGCTGAGTGCAGCAGTGGGAAGGCTGTGGCAATCACTGATGTCGCCGACGGAGGGCCAGATGCAGATCTACGTCGACGACGTGCTGACCCTCATCAATGGCACCGAAGAGGAAAAGGCGAACCTCATTGCGCTGGGGCTGTACACGATGAGGGCCTTCGGAGTGCAGATCGCCCTCAACAAGGGGGAGCGAGGTCAGCAAGTGCAGTGGATAGGTGTGAAAATGCTGCTGCAATGGCCCGAAAGCCCATTGAAGGGTTCGATCACGTACGCCGCACCAAAGAAGATGATGGACGAGCTGTTGGAGACCCTAATGGGCTGGATGGACCGTGGGATGGTGTCGCACCGAGAGCTACGAAGTACCACGGGTCGGCTCAGTTGGGTGGCTGGCATCCTACCGCGACTGAGGTGGGCGGTGCCTGTCTTCTTTGCAGTGCTGCGTGATGCGGAGGAAGACGAGAAGACGGGCCTCGAAGAAGAAAGGGCACAGCGCCGCAAGGACCAAAGGCCCAAATACGGTCTGGTGGCGGTGAAACGCTTTGGAGCCACGCTGAGGTGGCTGATTGCAGCCCTGGCCAGGGTGGATAGATTCACCTTGAGGAGAGAAGACCTGTTGGAGAGACCCGTCACCATGGGCATCATCTCAGATGCATCTCCGTTGGGATTGGGGGCAGTGCTGGTGGCAGTGGCCCCCCACGACGGCACGCTCTACGTGGTGGAGGCCTTCGAGGCAAAGTTCAACAAGACAGAGGCAAAACTCCTTGGTGTTGATCACGGAGAATCATCGAGCCAGGGAGTGCTGGAAGCTCTGGCCATCCTACGAGCAGTCAAATTGTGGAGGACGAGGTTGCAGCACAGGGCAATCTTCATCCGAAGCGACAGCGTGGTGGC